AAAGAAAGAAAGAAAGAAAGAAAAGAAAAGAAATGAAATGAAATGAAACAAAATAAAAACTCGATATTGCTTTCCATTTTAGTCTTAGTGCCTAGAAGAGTGCCCTGGATAGAGTAGGTGCTCAATTTAAAAACTGTTGAGTGGCTCATGCCTGTAATCCCAGCACTTCGGGAGGCCGAGGCAGGTGGATCACGAGGTCAGGAGAAGGAGACCATGGGGCTAACATGGAGAAACCCCGTCTCTACTAAAAATACAAAAAATTAGCCAGGCGTGGTGGCACGTGCCTGTAGTCCCAGCTACTCGGGAGGCTGAGCCAGGAGAATGGAACCAACCTGGGAGGCAGAGGTTGCAGTGAGCCGAGATCGTGTCACTGCACTCTGGCCTGGCGACAGAGCAAGACTCCGTCTTAAAAAAACAAAAAACAAAACAAAAAAAGACTGTGAGTGGATTAACACACACTTCCATGTAGATGTAGTCTGGTAAACACCGGCGTATGCCCACGTGGAGAGGGCTAAGCTGCCGACTGCGTGACGTCAAAGCCCCACCTTCTTGTTGTCGCGGTCTCCTGAAGAGTCATCCCGAATCTGGAAGCTGTGCAGGTTCACAAAGTCCTTGAGGTCATAGGAGTCTCCCCGGCGCTTACAGATGAGCAGAGCTTTGTCGAGCAGGAAGGCATACCTGGAAGGATGGATAAGGCATTCCTGTCTGGCTCTTCCCAACTGTCCCCACCAGCTCTCTGACCAGTTCCTCCACATCCTGGTCCCACCCTGACCTTCTCCTCCTCCTTGGCCAACTTGGTCATGCCCACCTGTCCATCCTGATCTCACCCACGTGATCCACGTTGGCCCTACTGCCTGTCAGTCTTGGCTCCACCCATATTCCTGGTTGGCTCCGTCCTGCCTGTCCATCAAGGTTCCACTGCCTTGTCTGGATGGATCTACCACCTGTCTGTCTAGAAATCTTGTCTCACCCACACTCAGGTCCCTACCCAAATTCATCTTAATTCCACCTACAAGTCTACATAGGAACTGGCCCCACCCCTGCCGAGGCTCCCCCCAAGATCTGCATTGGCTCCACCCACCTGTCCATCTAGGAGTCTGGCCACGCCCCTATCCAGGCTCTTTCCCAGATCTGTGTTGACTTCACCCAACCACCCATCTAGAAACCTGGCCCTATCCCTACCCAGGCTCCATCCAGATCTGTGTTGACTCCACGCACCTGCCCATCTAGGAGCCTGGCTCCTGCCCAGGCTCCACCCAGATCTGTGTTGACTCCACGCACCTGCGCATCTAGGAGCCTGGCCCCACTCCTGCCCAGGCTCCACCCAGATCTGTGTTGACTCCACGCACCTGCGCATCTAGGAGCCTGGCCCCACTCCTGCCCAGGCTCTGCTCCAGATCTATGTTGACTCCACCCACCTATCCATTTAGAAGCCTGGCCCCGCCCCTGCCCAGGCTCCACCCAGATCTGTATTGACTCCATCCACCTGCCCATCTAGGAGCCTGGCCCCACCCCTTTGCCCAGGCTCCATCCCAGATCCATGTTGACTCCACTCACCTGTCCATCTTGGAGCGCCGTTCCACCGAGGTGATCTTGAGCTCCCCGTCGATCTTGGGCCGGCCATAGTGAGCCAGAGACTGGTCCTATGCAGCAGGCAGGGGCGTCTAGCAAGGGTCTCCCAAGAAAGGAGCCAGACACCCTCCCCACATGGCCACACCCCTGGCCCACCCGGCTCCACCACCTCACCAGGTTCTCAATGGAGAGCTGGAAATTGGTGATCTGCCGCAGTGTCTCGTTGTCTCGCTTGACCTCGTTCACGCACTGAGCCAGGTCCTGGGGAAGGGACAGGGGTGAACCTGGCCCCCCAACAGCCGACCCAGGCTCCTACCTAACCCCAGCTAGAGGATCAGCCTCCACCAGGAGAGTGTCTGCAGCAGGTGAGTGACCATCACCCCACACCCACTCACCCTCATGGCATCCAGGGCCAGCCGCAGGTTCTCCTTCTCCATAGCCTCCTGCGTGTGTTTCACCAGCTCCTGCGAGAACCAAGACGTCAGACGTCACCTGGCCCCTCCCCTTCTCCCTGGGGGGAGGGCCTTCCAAACAATGCTAGCTCACCAGCTCCTCCCTTGTACTGGTGGCCCTGGAGGCTGAGACATGACCCCAGTGACCCATCCCCGAGTGTCCTAGAGACCCAACCCCCAAAGCCAACCCCGTCCCCACTTTTATAGACACAGGAGAGTAGATGCGTGGATCCCACGCCTCAGGAATGGGCCCGGCACCTGGAGAAGAAGGTGATATTTGAGAACTCGCTGCATAGGCACCATCAGTAGGTCCCGCAAGGTGAACCTCCCGTTGTTGGCTCGCTGAGAACATTCCTGGTGAATCAGAGAACAATGAGGAAACTGAGGCAGGTCCCAGAAAGAGCCAGTTGCAGGGTGGGTGCAGATAGATCTGAATAAAGACGTGGGCAGCTCTCCACCCCAGAGCTGTGGGGATTTTTCTAGGGGCCAAAGCATCATATCTGCCCCCAAGGAAACAGGGAAAGAGCTCCATGAGGTGTGGGCAGCTTAAGAACCACTGGAAGGAACTTTGGGAGGCCGAGGCGGGAGGATCACTTGAGGTCAGTAGTTCAAGACCAGCCTGGCCAACATGGGGAAACCCCGTCTCTGCTGAAAAAAAAAAAAAAAAAAAAAAACTGGTGTGGTGCACATGCCTGTAATCCCAGCTACTGGGGAGACAGAGGCAGGAGAATCGCTGGAACCCAGGAGCAGAAGGTTGCAATGAGCCGAGATCGTGTCATTGCTCCACCCTGGGCAACACGAGCAACACTCGGTCCCAAAAAAAAGAAAGAAAGAAAGAAAATATCAACCGAATATGCACAAAAGGAAAGGAGAAGGAAGTCAAAACCATTAACTACCAAAAACATACATACTTTTTAAAAACTAAGTACAAAATAAGGCAATAATGAAGCAAACGAGGAGCAAGAGCTATAGCTAATACATGGCAAAATGGCAGAAATAAGTCATTTCTTATTAACTATAACTTTAAATGAAGATGGTTTAAACTCTCCAATCAAAAGGCAAAGACTGGCACGATGCAAAAAAAATATGATTTAACTATATGCTGTCTACAAAAGATTTATTTTAGATCCAAAGACAACAATAGTAAAGCAAAATGGTGGGAAAAAATTTCACTAGTAACCAAAAGAGAGTTGTGGTGGTTATATTACTATCAGACAAAACAGACTTTAAGTCAAAAACTGTTACAACAAACAAAAGTCACTATATATTAACAAAAGGGTTGATTCGGTAAGAGTATATAATTATTATTATTTATTTTATTTTATTTTATTTATTT